CTAAATATAAGCAACTATTAATTGAGATTATTTTTAAATTTGGATTGAAAGGTGAATTTTATTTTTAACTATAACAAACAAAAATTACTTAAACATGGTCAATTCTTATATCTCCTATAATATAATTTTAAAAATACATATCATCAAAATTAATATTATTTTTCTTTGTATAAGTAATCATTGAACTTTGTAAAGATTTATAATTATTATTATTATTATTCTTTTCGATAGTACTTACAAAATCTATGTGAAATTCTAACAACAAATACTACATATAATTTTAATAAAGATAATCTATTTTAACCAAATTACCTTTTTTTTATTCTAATATATTCTAAAAAATATTCTAGTAACATATAAAAAATCAATTAGCCAAAGCTATCTTAGTAAAATCTATTATTATTAAATATTGATAATTTTAAATTTTAAAATAATTTTTTTTAAAAATTCATCATTTTTATGAAGAAAAAAGAGATTTCAAAAAATATTTTATAAATATGGACAAATTCTTATTTATTGGTTAAAAAAATTATAGATATTAATATTAATTTAAAAATAATAATTTTATAATTAATAAAATATTATCTTTCTATTCTTTATATCTTTATCTTAGTTAGGAAAGTATTAAACACAATATTTTACAAAGGCTCCAAAGAAGACAAAATCTATAGAATAATTTTTTCTTGAAATGATGCCTAGCAATTATTTAGCCAATATATCAAAAACTCTATTTCAACCATCGAAGGTGACAAAAGCTTTGTTTAAAATATGATATCTATTCTATAATAATTTAGTTATTATTTTGGTCTTCAGATGAATAGAGCAAAATCAAATGTATATTGGCAAGATAAGAAACATCTAAAATCACATAAGATCAAATAATCTACTTAGATGTGGATAGAAAATAATAAAGTCAATAAACTTTTGGATACATTATTTGCCTTTTTACTTTAAAAATAAGAATATTTATAGTTTCATTAATTAATTCACTAAAAAACACAACTTTTGGTATAATACAATACTAAAGAAAGGTCTAAGAAAAAATTATAATAAATTGTATTTTCTTATCTTTAATATATTTATTCACTTTAATATTTGTAATTATTTTTAGGTTGTTTACAAATTTAACATATGATTAGGGATTTTCTATAGAAGAATTCTTACTTCCTAATATGTGCCAAAGTAGCATAGAATATTGCTATGATAACAAAATCAAAGGTCTACGACTAATAAACCAAATAGAAGCCAATGCAAGAACATATTAATATGACAACTCATTGATATAAAGTGGTTTCCTATAACATGTGTTACTAAAAGATAGTGTAAAAGTACATTTAAAAAAAGAAGGAACAAAGAAAACGTTTGGAAAACATTGACATGTTGAAGTATTGAAACAATATTTAACAAAAAACATTGCTATCTCACCAATACACTTCTATACAAGCCAAAAATACTCTATGTATGTGTATATATATATATATATATATAGATACATACATTTTATAGTTGCGTGTGTGTGTGAATCCTAAACACCACACGAATGCTCATGGAAAGTCCAACGTTATTTCAAATATCATTCCTATCTCTTTCGATGCAAAATTGCTCATGTGGTGTGCACACAATCCGTTTACCGACAGTCCAGTGTCCACGCACCCACTAGTGTCGGCAAAGAATGTGCAGGTGCCGAAGGCGAAGAAGGCGTTAGTCGGGACGCAGATCGATCCATCGATTCATCCATGCAAGTCCTCGGAGTGGCCGATTCCCAGCTTGAATTTTCCACACCCACGCCCGGCCGTTACGAATTTCGCACAAGGGAGCAGTGGCCGATGGTGGCGACGGAGTTCGCCGCTGGAATGGTGTCGCACTCGACGCCGATGCAGTCAGATGAGCCGGAGGCGTGGAGCCACCTCCGAGTAGCCCACCCCAACCCAATTTAGACACGGCACGAAATCGTCTCAAGAATATCGCGCCACCGCCCCCATAAATTTCTGTGGCGGTAAATCGGGAGCAAGAGCAGGTACCGACAGACTCTCTGACGCAGAATATGCGCCGCCCTTCCCCACAGCGATGCGATGTTCGGATCCTGGGTTGGCCAGCGGGATGCGCGTGGCCCCTTCAATAACATCTCAAACATCAAAGAGTGGGATTGGTCCCATGCGTCGGTATGCGTGCCTGTGCGGTGCGACCATGGCATTACCAGTGGACCTGGCGTGATTTAACCTCGGGTTGTGCGCTGCCCCTGTCTACCTCGATGATGCTTCCTGCATTCCAGTTCTATTTGCTTGCATTCCTCGCGCTCTTACCCCCTCTTCTTCTGCTTCCGGATTGACTTGGTCGATGCATCGCAAACTTTGACTTAGCTCCATGCACTGACTCGTCTTATTGCACGCTTGTATATGTACATATATATATATATATATATATATATGTGTGTGTGTGTGTTTGGGTGTGTGTGCGTGTCTGTTATAAATTATGGTGCATGAGATCAGCATTGGTATTTGTTTGACCCGATGTGTTCAATCCTTACAAACGTGTCATGGTGCAATTTTGTCTTCGTCGTTTTCTCGCTTACTGTGCGAAATGTATCATAAGAAAATTTGTGGATAATCTGATTATTTAAATTATGGATAGAAAGACAGAACTAAGCAAACTTTGAATTCAGGTTTGGATTTTATTGTGAATTGGACTATGGGATATTGCATTATTGTTTATGCATATTGATTCCAGCTTATTATGAGTATCATGAAAATTTTATCTTCTGTAAAATGTAATAAATTATTGGTTGTTTTGTATTTGATTGTTGCAGAACGAAAAATTACCTTGTTTCATGTTCATCAAGAATTTCAATCATTTCATTTTCAAATAAGTATGTTCTGTTTTAATTACAGGGTACTACATTCGTGCATTATCATAATTTGTTTTAGTATGGCATAAATGAGAAATTTTAAGATTTTTTTAAGGAATAGTATAATATACTATTATAATATATTAAGAAGTGATTTTTACAATAAAAAATTATTTTAACTCTTAAATATATATTCTTTGTATGTAATAAAGTAATTTAAAAAATATTTTTAAATATAATGTGAATTAGATAATTAATATTTTTAACCTTTTAAAATTAAATTGATTTTTGAAAACAAGTTTTCAAAAATGTTACTCAAAATATATATATATATATATATGTATATATACATATACATACATATATGTATATATACATATACATATATATACATGTATATATACACACATATATATATATACACACACATATATATATACACATATATATATATATATATGTATATACATATATATATATATATATACATATACTTATTTAGAAATTAGAAAATAAATAAAATATTTGAATTTGCAGGAATAGTCAAAATCTGATCTCTCAACTTAGTCATTCAAGGTGATATTCTTGGAAGTAGTAGTTTGCTTTACTCGAGGAGGCATGACCTAAGAATAAGGTGGCATGTGATTCATTTCACACTACCCAATAATACCTCGTATCCTTTTTCATTCAAATGATGGTTTTGTAGTGCCATATGAAAATATTTATTTGTCGTCAACCATAAAAAGCAACAGTGATATATGTATGCATATACTATTTTAGATTAAAATTGTGATGCTACTAAATAAAGTAATACATTGTATTTTTTTTAACTTAGCATTTTTCAATACTTTACAATAATCAAGTATTTAATGTGACATTATTTTAACAATCTAAACTATTATGCAATTATATTTTGTACAATTATATTTAAATTGCACATGCAGCTAATTCTACCTATGTATGTATGTATGTATATATATATATATATATATTTGAATAGAGTCATTTACATGTCTTATTTAACATTCTGGTATTATTCAATAATGTTATAAAACTGATAGATATTGAATGCAATTGAATTGATACAAATAATTTACTATAAAGTAATTTGACACAAAAAGAAATAAATAAAACAATTTGACATGATGTGCTTTATCCATTCAAGTGTTTACATAATTCCAATATATTCCGATCAAGATCTGTTTGTTTTAGAGATATATTGTTCTTCGACATTACATCAAAACCTTGTTAGATGCCTTATGAAGATACAAATTTTTGTGTTTAAACACCAATTTATTTTCTTCTTTTTCTTAGTTAGTATGAATATGTGCTGAAAAAATATGATGAATTATAAATTTGGTAGTTATTTTTTAAAAAATAATAGTATTGTTTTATTATTTTTTTGGTTTTGTTGCAAGAGCAAACATATATTGGCTCATTAGCAATACGTACATCATAAATGCTCACTTTAGTTTGGACTATCGTGCAAAAAAATGATGTAAATAACTAGAACAGACTTGTGCGTAAAATTGTCAATAATCCAAACCACAGTGTGACATGCAAATCACAACAACATAATCATCAATGCTCTAGAAACAGACCTATAATCAACACGTAGTAAAAGAGAGTGACATGCATAATAAACAGAATTTACGTCTATTTGCTCTATGACACATGTACTGTTCTATGGTGGCCCCACAATTATAAAATTGGTTTACAATACCTCACACCAGCAGCAGTTTCATTAATGAGGATAGAAACTGTTGAACACTCTCTACCTTCATTTCTGGTTCTTTTACACTTTTATTTATGGCTTTCCTTTTGAAGCACATACAATCTACATTCCATTTATAAGAACCCTGAGATTAAAAAGACGAAAAATGTTTGTGTTGTTACAGAGTAAAGATCCAAATCCCATATCTTATCTTAAACCTCACCCTATTATTGGTCTGGATATAGAGCTGCCACGGAAGAATTCGGAACTAAGGACTACCTGTGGATCGCCATGCAGTAGAGTGATAGTAACAGTAGCAACCAGCACGCCGAGGCGAATAACATGTATTATATTAATAGTATTAATAAATTTAAGGATGGTTGGACATGGTTCGACTGCGAAGGGTGACGTGCGAGAGTACTCCAAGTTGAGGAGGAAAATGGGGTTCCAGGAGGCGATATGCGGTGCATAGTTTGAGCTGCATTAACCCTAGACATGATGTGGGTAGTAGTAGTAGTAAGCCGGCGCCTTGACGATTCCTAGTGCCGATGTCTAGGCATTGACTGTCTAGCCTACGCTTTGCACAATCGCGGGCGTCAAACGTGCCGCAAGCAGATCCCACTCACTGTCTGGTGTGTCACACCCTTGCAGTGATCGATGCGCCTGTTCTGAGGCTGGATGGAGCTCCCTAGGGGCTGCAGTCCGGGCAAGGGCACGCAGCACGTCTTGTCGCTTTGCCTGCCAGGCATGACAGTCCTGTGTGTGGTATCGGCGTTCGCAGCGATTCGCAGAAGTCTAGACGTAACACGGCGAGAGAATGAGCTCAACTTCAGTCGAGACTGGTGGTTGGTGCATCTGCCGGCCTGAGCGGATATTGTTTAGCTTGTGGATCTTCGCACTAATTTCGTATATGGGTGTTGTGGAGCACTGAGATCCTCACCATCAGCTCTCCATCAGCTCTCCATCAGCTCTCAATCAATTGGCTCGACCATTCCATTGATCAGAGTTTGAGCTTATGTGCACGTGTCGTAATTTCAGTTCGTAGATTTGTGTCAGTAATCAATTTCTATTGACTGTGTCAATCAGGTACCAGAAGAAACTGGCTTATTGCAGGCACAAGTGTTGGGGCAGAAAGGATTGAGGAGGGAATTATAGTCGTTTAGATGCACTGCTTGTGCAGGTTGTGGACTAAGCCAGTCCATCGGTGTCGAAAAAGCCCAGAGACAAAGACTAATACGAGATTCAAGCTCCTAGCGCCCGAAGTTAGCAAGGGACCTCGAGGATGTTATGAGCAGTGCAGGGAACGTGGCGGACGGGAGGGTGAATGTCGACGTCAAGAACAGCTGCGGTGCTTGCTTTAGAGAGTGGCAGTACTTGGAGTAGACGCCAGTAATTAGAACCGCCACCATCAAACCATGTTTTTTCATATGGAGGAGGGAATTGGCGAATGCGTAGTTGGTCGTGAATCTGATGGCTATGGCTATGCATGTTAACGGAGAGGCAATGTTGTATAATCGAGACGCAGACATCGATTTCAACAACTTTCCGGCATCGCTGCATCTGCGTAGGCCGGTAGCAGAAGCTTTTCTCGTGAGTCAGGGGCGCGGGATGGGGAGTTTGTTCTTGTGGTTCTTCATCTTCGTGGTGGGTGTGACGATAGGACTGTGGTGGCAGGCAGTTCAAAGACGGGGCGAAGCTTATGGGAGTACATCGAAAGAGACTGCGTTGGCGGAGTCTTCGACGCCGCCTTCTTCCACATGCATAACATGTACCAGCAACAGTCCGCGGGTGTCCCGAACGTCGACCGTAGGCGCCGTGACGGAGTACACCTTGACGGAGATTGAGATCATGACGGACAATTTTCGACAAGAGCTAGGAAAGGGTGGTCAAGGGGTAGTCTATTTGGCGAGGTCACTGACGGACGAGCCAGTCGGGCGACCTCTGGCCGTGAAGCGGCTGCAGAAAGGCTCCAATGTGCTGATTAGTAACCTCGACAATCGCACCCAGCAGGAAATAGAGAGGGAGTTCTGGGCGGAGCTGAACATTATCTCCCGCCTGCACCATCGAAATCTTGTTGCGCTCGTAGGTTTCTGTATCGAGGAGGATGATTTATTTCTGGTATATGAGTACATGGTGAACGGCTCCCTCGACCAGCATCTGCATAAAAACGTGGGTCGCGAAGACGGGCCGGCAGTATTGAGTTGGAGAGCTCGTATGCGGTGTGCGGCTGAAGTTGCGCAAGGGCTAGAGTATCTCCATAGCCACGCAAATCCGTCGCTGGTGCACAGAGATATCAAGTCGAGCAACATTTTGTTCGACAGCGGGATGCAGGCGAAAATTGCAGATTTCGGGCTTAGCAAGCCGCTGCTACCTGACCATTCGATGACGCTGTCCACGAGCGTGCGTGGGACGCATGGCTATGTCGACCCCGCTTATTTGATCAATGGCACGCCGTGCGACAAGAACGACGTCTATAGCTACGGCGTAGTGCTTCTGGAACTCATCACTGGTCGGCGTGCCATCCAGCAACGAGTCAGCTTGGTCACTTGGTGCAAGGATTTTCTCGATATCGAGGACTCCGTAACGCGGCACCTACTCCCACATATGATCGACAACCGAATCAGCCCCTTGGATGTCTCCTATGACCAGATCTATGAAGTGGTAAAAGTTGCTCAGATGTGCGTTGACGAGCGGCAGGAGACTCGCCCCAGCATGAAAGATGTGGTCGTGTGGTTGCACAACGCCAATTACAAAGACTCTTCCAGCTCCGAAAGTAGCCTCGAAGTAACAATTTCTGCACCCCATTTCTCCTGCATCGGGCTTGCTCTTGTTTTTCTATCTTTTCTTTTCCTCCCACTGTGTTTGATGACGCAGCTTCTGCTGGTTTTTGGTTTTGATTCCATCGAGCGGGTTTCTTTTCTGTAGACATCGGATTTTACTCTCAGTAATGGCTCCACTTTCAGTTCTTTCAACGATCGTTTAAAACCCCATCACTCGGTGTTCGCGCGGAGTATCAGCGGGTAGGATTTCTTTTCTTTTTCTACTTTTGACATACGTGTTTATTTCCCTTCCCACTAGCCTTGCATTTATCTGCAAAGCCAAGGGAAACGCAGTCGTCATGGCAAAACCCTAAGTTCCAAACAGCTTGAGCTTCAGATTAAAACCTTACAGCGATGTTTTTGCAGGTTGCCTGCATATGAGATCCGAGACAACACGATTCTTGTTAAGTGCACTGTAGGAAACAACCATAGGATTTCGCTGCGGTGTAAAATTTGGCCAACGTCGAAAAATTTCGGATTGAACAAGATCGAGGCAACTCTAAACGGCGCTTTCCTGTGGAAGAAGGGACTGTGGTTTTACAATGCTAAGAGCAGCCGCGAGTTCACAATAGACGAAGAGATAAAAGTGCTGGCTGAGTGGCATGTAACGCTGAGAATTCCGGCCATGCTTAGTAGACACCCTCTTCCTTCGCATGATCCTCGGAGAAACCAAGGTCCATTTCGTATCGATTATCTCGCACTCAAAGACGAGAATGGGAGGCCTCTGATAGAGTATCACGGTGACAAGACACCCTTACCAGAAAACTGGGTATGCACATTTACTCTGCCATTCCTGACAAGCTTGCTGTGTCGATTTGTAATTGCTTGTGACAGTTCCCTAACGGCTAGCGGTAGAACTAATACTTCGGAAAATCTTCGACTAGCCATAGAAAACCAAGGGTGATAGTCTCCTGAATCATGGGTATTGCGTAGGCTTCTGGAATGAAGAGCTCGTTCAAGAGGGGACAGAGAAGTGAGACGTGGGCACCCAATGCAGATGGTCTTACTGCAACAAATCACACCGGTGCAATAGTGTGTTGTGCCGTGTCTTGGTCTTAGTAATTCAAACCGCTAGATAGGAGATCATCTAACCCTTCGTAAGATTGATGGTTATTCTCCTGCCTCCTTCCCATCGCACTGGAGGACATACTTGAACTTGCCATGTTCTGAGGCGACCAGTGAGATTCTGCTTGAGCTAAATTTGAACTCAGACGGCTTCCTAAATGTAATTTATGGTTTTCCTAATGTTCGAAGTGATTGATTTTACCAAGATGGTGTATATTCTTGCATCCTTGAATTGTTGACTGATACTAAGGTGGCCTCCGTGCTGTTGCAGAGGGAGGGGTTGGAGATCAGGACTAAGTCGGGATCCGGCTCTGGTTATGGATCCGGATCAGCAGGACGCCGGAGCTTTAAGAATCGGAATAGCATGGTTGTGAGGCGGAATTCAGCTCCCATACCCCACTTCTGAGTGACCTTTATTTCCTGGAAGATTTTGGCTGTAAACTAGGTCGAAATATGTCTGGGCTGCAGCTCTAGCACGTTAACACATGCTAAACCCTACACTAGCAATATGCCTAAATTCCACCCTCATACAGCCACCTGTTGTGTGGTGACGCCCGCGTCACATAGTAAGAAGCCAAATCAATGATCGAATCTATGTTTTCCTGGACTATCGATCGAGATCTCCCTGCAACAGGCCAAACTATGCCATTCGGTGCAATCGACAAGCACAAGCACATGTATGGATTTGACATGGCGAGGGTTGCAAGCCATCAAAGTTCAAAGCATCCGCTATTATTGCACTCTCCCATCGACATATGCTGGAGAGGAACGCAGAGTTTTATGCAATCTTACATAGTTTTGTACACTAGTGTAGGTGTACAGTCGGCGTGTATTCGCAGATCAACGAAGTTGTACATACGAGGAGGCCTCAACAAGTACAGGCGATCTCGAGACATGCATGCTTACGGTTCAGATCACCTGAAAGCATTCACATGTACTGCACTGCACCTGTGTGCTAACTTCCTCGGTTGAACTGCCCCTGCTAATCTCTACCCATCTACCCAACTGAAGAGCTTTGGGAACAGAACAACTGTGGGAACCATTTTACTTGCAATCCAATCTAGCGGGCTACCTGGTGAACGGTTGAAGTCCCGTTTTCTAGTCGACAGTGTATCGATATGACCCGATGGATGTCTCGCCGAAGGTGGAGAAGCCATGCTTGGATCTTATTTTAAAGTCATGCAGGAGAAACCAGCTTTCTCGCATGATTTGGCACATCTGAGGTTCACTAGAATCAGCAATCGGCTGTCATGGGGTTTCACTTGGTGGGTGCAATTTCGGCCATCTTTGCACTGCTATAAATGATGGTAAAAAGCTGCCATTTTGCGGTGAGCCTTCGGAGCCATTGGAATCTGAACTTCAGCCTTTCACATGTTCGACGCATGGATTATGTTTGTTATAATAGTGCCAACAATTCGGCATGAGTTTGAAAAGGAGGCTTTCTTATATGAACTTCTCACATGCTCTTATTTCTTTTTGTGTTCATTGTACATAGAGATACTTGAAGACACTAACATCTGAACGCAGGTAGATTCGCACATCTACACGATGAAGGAACGATTTAGTGTAATACAGATGTTGAAAAGCTAAACAGAGAAAAACCAGATTGGTTTTCTTCTTATCTATATATATATATATATATATATTGTTTTTGTTATCACAATATTGAATATATCTAATGTTTAGATTAAATTAAAAAATGTGCAAAGTAGAACAACTTATATCCTATGCCTTCATAACAACAAATCTATTTGTTACAATCACTCTTGTATTAGATTAGTCATAAAAACATTGACTCTTTGTGCATATGTGGTTTAAATCATATTCCTTGTTAATTAATCAAAAAATTTATTTTTAGAATTGTATTCTATTTGGTTGTATTCAAATTTAGCTTAAGTTGGTTTCCTTCTATTGTTGATCTATTAATTTTTGATGAGTAGATCATCAAATTTATATATGTAAATTTGTATCACATATTAGAATAAAAATAAGTTCATTTATTTAACCAAATATCAATTTAATATTTTCTTTATATATTTCTTAAAATATATTTTTAGAGTTACTTATAAAATCTTAATTTTAATTTTTTTATGTAAAATTGATGATTTAAAAAATATCATTTATTTATTTTTAAATATATATTTTTTAATTAAATTTTAACTTAATAGAAAAACTTGATAGATGTATTTTAATGTTAATGGATCTTTGTAAGATAAATCAATTGTCTTCTTCAACATTTGTGTAATAAAAAAGAAGTAAAAATCCATTGTATAGCAATAATATTATTTTAATTTTAAAAATCTATTCTAATCCTTATTTTTGGAGAGAATCTTTTAACATGTTCTATAGTCTATAGACATAATAATTTTTAGACTATCAATTTTCTTGAATTTAGAACAAATAGACTATGTAACTTTACAATATTTCAAAAGATGTGGGTTGTCTTAGAAAAATAAACTATTATTATAATTTTGATTTTATAAATTTCTTTTAAAGAACCAATTTATATAATTAAAAAAAATAAAGGGAGAAAATAAATATACTATTAAGTATGATGACTCTTCTTGCCATATTATATTTTTGGTAGAATACCACTAGTCTAATTATTTTTTAATTGTATAAGTTAAAAAGTAATCAACATCTAGAATTTGTAACAATAATCTAAAGTAAGTATCTAAGAGTTTACTCAAATCCATCAAAAGCCATCTATCTATGAAAATTACATAGTTTTATTGTATTGCTTAAAAATATTGGATTAAGTTATTTCTATTTTTAAAACCGAATAGAACTATTAGATCATATTAATTAAAACATATATAGTAGATACTTCCTCCTTCACCATAAAGATGTAGCCATTTTCATTTTGATATATAATTTTTTGATTTGAATTACAAGGTATATTAATTTCTTTTTATATTTTGTCTTTGATTTTTTGTTAAAAATTTGAATTAAATATTTCTTCTACTATGACAAATAAATAAATTTTAAAAATGTAGCCTTGTATTATATCTTATATAATTAAATTTTTTTTGATAAAAATCTATTATTCTGATTATTTTATTTATTTGTAAAAAAAATAATCTTAATTATATAATATATTTTTATAAAAATTAATGTAAATTATTTTTTATTATTTTTTAAGATCTACAAAATAAAAATTTAAGTAAAAATAAGAATTTATTTAAAAATATTGGATTCATTAATAATTTCTTAAATGACCAAAAAATTTAAAAAATAATTATGTTAGTAAAAATATAAATTTATTTGAATAAATGACTTTTTCAAGAATCAATTTTAATTTTTTAAATAATATTTCTATATAAATGCTATACAAGATGATTTATAATGTAGTTAGATGCTAATTTTGAAATGTGGTCTCATTTCTTTTTTTATGGAATAATGTTATAATTTTTGATATTTGTCTTACATTAAGAATTCCCTTAGCAAGCTTTGTTTGTCACTTTTTAAATGGCCCTTGTAGAAGGTTTAAAGGATGCAAGCAAGGGCTAAATTATTAATCTTTTTTTTTTTTTTTTTTTTTTTTTTTTTTCCCTCTCTCTTTCCCCCTCCTCTCTTCCCTTCTATTCTCTCTTTTCTTTTTTTGTAGGGGTACAAGGTAGCATCTCCATGGATCAATGCATATATAATTTGGAGCTTATTTAAATTAGTTGTTAGGATTAGCAATATGATTTTATATCTATACTTGATATGGACATTATTATGCCACAAAATAAGTGTTTTTTTTTTTTTTTATCATGAAAATAGATATCTTGAATTTTTTCTAAATTACATTATTGTATATCTAATCTATGTGCATCTGTAATAAATTCCAATAATCGATATCAATGCAATAACAAATCTACATGTATTAAAGAAGACGATTGCAAGTACAATATTGTATTGTAATTGTTTATAGTATGTAAAAATTAACTAAAATATATAATATATTTATAAGTATTGATGTGCATTAGAATAGTTAGTATGTTATTTTAAAGAGAATTGATATAAGAAAAATTTATTTTGAGGTTTATTTATGTTGATTATAGTGTTTAAATTATATAGGATTTAGATATTTAATATAAAATTTAAGGAAAAGATTGGAGCTCAAAGATGAAGATCCAAACCTCTAAGAAACTTATTTGGAAGAATGAAAGCAAGGTATAGATGAATGAAGGCAAAAGATAAAGATCTTCATTCATATTGATCAAAGGCTATGCTCAATAGGCATTTAGCAGGTTGTCTATGACCATAACAAAAAAATTGGCAACTTTAGAAGGAGCATTTGAGAATTAGAAGCAAGAAATATAAGGTCTAGAATTTGGACTATAATTTTTGCAAATTTTAGAGAATTTGGAGTTAGAGTGATGAAGTTGTAGCTGCTTGAGATTAAGGTGTCTTTTTAAGACATACTATTGCTCTTTTGAGGATATAAGGAATTTAATAACAGATTTTGGAGATTGGAAAGTATAGCTGCAAGGGCGATTTTAAGACCTACATCTTTTGTGAAGGAAGTTTTTGCATTTGGAGTTTGTATGAAGAAGTTATAGAGTATTGAAGATAGCACATATAATTCAAAGGCAGTAAATAAGATATTTTATAGATAGTAATGGTTGGAACCATATCTTGAGTTTTTACATGAATTTTTGAGATTAAAGCTATTGAAGTTTGGAAAAAATTCACCTCAAGGATATATAAGGTTTTATAATATTTTTATCACATTTTTGGTGATATTTGGTATTTATAGCTTATTTATTGATGTAATTGCTTCTATAGGAAAAAATTTATATATAAACTTGGTATTTTTTTTTTTTTAATCTTGAGACTTAGTTGAGTAATTAGTGACAGCCATAAGTCCAACTCTTTCTTAAGTTAAATTCTCTCTATCCAAATAGCGGCATAAGATGGCTATTGGTGCTTAGAAAGTTGGAGTTGTTTTTGTTGGTTGGATATTAATTATGATCATTTTAGAAGCTTGATAATAGACAAAGGTGACTAATCACTTGATTTCCTTGTCTTGATCCATTATAGTATATAGATTTGATTTGAGAGCATATATACAAATTTAAGATTGATTACTTGAGGCAATTGGATAAAAAGGCCTTGTGAGCTGCTAATATAAATGCAACTATGCCAAATTTTTTCACATTGTTGTGGGCTCCATAAGTCTTGAAAGTTTAGATTAAAAAAAAAAACATTATCGACAAAGATTTCAAATGCAAAGTTTGAGATGAAAAAATTTGATGGAAAAAATAATTTTAGATTGTGGCAATTGAAAGTGAAAGATTTTCTTGTGCAACAAAGATTATAAAAGGCATTGAAAAAAAATTAGAAATAAGAAAAACAAGGAATGAAAGGAGATTAGCTTGAGGACTATTAGTAAATTTTTTTTTAATCTTGCAAATGAAATATTGTATAATATCATTAATGAAAGTTTAATACTTAAATTATAAATAAAATATGCATAAACAAGGATTCTTGACTTTGCTTGTTCATATGATATATGAAACACGACTAAATTCTTTAAGGTCTAAAATTTTATCAACTCCATAACAATAAAGATCTTGACATATTGTAAGACTAAGTATATTAGAATAAAAATAAAAATAACTAAACAAAATGAAACATGAAAGTTAGAACTAAGTAAAAGAAAATAAAAACAAATAGAATCAGATAGAATAAAATAAAAAAAAACCAACCAAAATTTAGTAAAAAAAAGAATTTGAAGCTACACCTAACCAAATGTCCAAATAGCCTCAGCTAGTCCTATTTATACTTTGTTCAATTATCCCTAGAATTTTCTAGAATGTCTCTAACAATGGGCTCTACTAAGATAATTATCCTTTTAGAAGATTCTAGAAATAGGTCCTACTATAATAACCTCCTTAAGCCTTTTTAAAAGGTTCTATGGTAGGTTTGATATGAACTACCATCCTAATCTCAATTCTAGAAACTTCTCAAAAACAACTTCCACAACATATCTCTATATGCAAATAATATAAATATTCTATCTATGCCCTATTACAACTAATTTCTTTCTACTAATACAGAACACCCTTGTTTCACTCCCAATGGTATTTTTAAAATGGTTTTCTCACAATGAGTGAGATTTTGTATAAGTTTCCAAGTTGCATCGTGGATGGCATAACCTTTTCAAAGAACTTTGTACTGAAGGTGCGGAGGTCTACTGCCATAGCAAAGGTAGCAATGTTCCAAAATACTGTCCACTTTATACTCTTGATGGTCATCAATCACAATTGGTGGTAGTAGTGGTGGTGGTTGGTGTCAATCCAAAAAGTCCCTTAGTTCAATATGAAACTCTTTGAGTTGCAAAATATGGAAGATTGGATAGACCCAAATATCTGACAAAAGCTCAAGGTGATATGCAACATCAAAAATTATTATAGAAATGTAAAAAAATTCAAGCCATTGAGGTACTAGCTTATGGACTTGGATTGATGTAGTAAGTGGAAGATTGGTGTTAGAGAGTAATACTTTGTCACTATTCCAAAAGGTCTTGTGTTGTTGGTGGTTATGTATATATTGCTTCTATCAATTTTATGCAATAAGGATACAATGTTGTACTTCTTGTAAGGCCATTGTAAGCCATTGTATGCACTCTTCTATTATTAAATTATTAGTATCAAGGAGACAATGAAGAGTTGCTGATGTAATGAGATGTTGATTGATGTTAA